TTCAGTATTCTTTGTATTATTTTACTTGTTTTTTTCTCTTTTTGTTAATTTTATCATGAAACCAAGCAAAGCAGTTACAGATTCCATCCAAACAACTTCCTCTCCTCTTGGAGACCCATTGTCATCAATGAGGTAACACAGATAGAAAAAGTCCTCATGTTTTGCATCAAAAACATTTAATGTATTTCTATTGCTTTGAAAAATGGCTTTAAAGGAATATTTTGGCACTAACTATTCTCCTGGGCATTGTCCAAATCTTCAAAATTCTTAATACTACACTTGGTTAGGTACCTCTGCTTCCCCTCTCTCATCCCTATGCTGTGCCCTTTCATGTCCTCCAACTCCTGGCCTGATATCCGCCTGCATGGTCATCGCTGCACTTCTAGTAGGAGAGGAAGCTTACTTGAAGCTTATTAAGAACGCACATTCTTAACAAGTCATCTTTTCTAGGGCACTTGCGTTGGTACATCTACACAATGAAATACTATGCAGCTGTTAGGAGAGATGAAGTCATAAAAATTTGCTTATAAGTGGATAGACATTGAGAGTATCATGCTATGTGAAATGAGTCAGAAAGAAAGAAACAGATACAGGAGGACTGCACTTATTTGAGGAGTATAAAATAACTTAAAACAAGACAGACACCCAAGGATAGTAGATAGAAGGGTCAGGAAGATTGTTCCATAGTTGGAAGTCTGGCTCACGAATGGGTGGGGAAAGGATAGCTGGAATAGAGAAGGGATCACTAAGAAAATGATGGTTGGAGGAATCGGTTGGGATGGGAGATGTGTGCCGAAAGTAGATAAAGGACCAAACATGATAACCTCTCAGGGTCTGTCTTGCAAACCATAATGCCCAAAAGTAGAGAGAGAGTATGGGGAATCATGTCTGCCATGGAGGCAGAGGGAGGGTGGGAAAGGGGAGTTAATACCAGGGCTATTGGTGGTGAGGAATGTGCACTGGGGGAGGGATGGGTGTTTGATCATTGTGTGATTGTAACCCAAACATGAAAGCTTGTAACTATCTCAACGGTGATTCAATAAAATTTAAAAAAAAAATAAATAAAGTTTATATTTATTTAAATAAATAAATAAATAGAGCCACTTCACCCTGCACACTGGCAGCCATGGTTGAACATCATGGATAAAGTGAGATAGAAGTGTCCAACGGTAAGTGAACCATTTGCTCATTACTTCCCTGGTAGATGTTTTCAGCATTTTCTCCCAGGTGCAAATGGTAGGGCCTCTGGGAGAATTTGAGAGAAAGGTTGGGAGTGGCCTTTGTGAATTGTCAAAGTCAGAATGCAAATGGTGATTAACTAACGCCAGCCCTGCCCCTCAGCCAGCAAAGAAGAGTCTCCTGTGAAAACCCAGGGGATACTTTTGTGCTTTCTTTTAGTCATTTGAATTCTCAAAATTGTCCCCAGTTTAGATAGAATCAACCTCAAATGGTCTATGATTAAAATTTCCACTCTGAAAATCTGAGCAACTTAAGAATTGCAGGAACTGGACCATCTGGAGATAATTTATAAATAACACTCGCCTTTCAAATTGGCTCTGTCTTCCCAAAGAGTCCTCTGTCCTGCCGGTGGGACTGCTGCCAAGGCCCAAACTGCTAAATTGGGCCAGGGACACTGAAATTTCTGGCAGGAGCTGCTTATCTCAGATTCTTCTAAGAATTTGGGACACTTTATTGAAACAGTTGTTTTTCTTTATGTAAAATGTAGGCTAAAAGTTTTGGAATCTCTTTAGGTTATAAGAAAGGTTCTCAGAATTTTAATGCTTTACCTGCTAAGATAATTAAAACTCAAATCAAATACCAGTTCACACCACAAGGATCCTGATTACATGGTAAGATTGGGGGGCATTAAAAAAAAATGACTCAGCCTTTTTTTGCTCCCTTTTCACAGAATCCAGTTGCCATGAAAGGGAGCTATTAATAGCCTCCTTCCCCATCCCTTTCTTTCAAGTCAGTCCTAGTTAGCACAAGCTTAGTCCCTGCAGTGTGTCTCTCAAGAGCCAGCCCCATTGTGTTGAACCAGTGGTGGCAGTGATGGTGCTTTTTGGATTTAAGGTGGACAGAGTTGACAATCTGGAAGATAATTTCTCCTACTCTGGGGTTGAGAGCCAATTACATGAATATTCTTTCCTCACTGGTGTTAATTCTGCTGAGCTCTTGTGAGAAATAGCCTGCCTGTCTGAAAATGAATAGACTCAGAGTTGTGATGATCAGCAAAAGTGAGGTTTCACTAACTGTTGATTACATCGTACAAGATGAGAGTGACAGATGAGCAGAAGCACTGAAAGTGGTTAGAACGGGTACTGGATTCCCTTGTGTGTCTCTCCTTCCACTCCTTATTGGACGAGTAGTAGGGAGTGTATAATCTATCCTGACACATTGCCTAAGTTTCTTTGGATAGTTTGAATGCATATATCCCTTGGGATTGGTTGGGATTTTAGAAGTGGGCTTTGGTTGTCTCCATTCCTCTTTGTTTTCTTGTGGCAGGAAATATCTCCTGGAGTATGTGCTTTCTAGCACATAGACAGTTTCTACATTGATCCCCCACCTTCCTAACACTTTGATCAAACACTCGCTAGTCAGTGAGTCATTATGCAGGCACACGGCTGGTAATTTTCCATTTAGGGCTAAGTGTTTTATCTTGAAAAGGATCACCGCTGACTTTGTTCCTAATACTCTAATGATTGAAGTCTCCTGTCTGTTCACACCCCAACTTGATGTCATGCCTCGTCAGAGTTTTAAAATGATCAAATTCAGGGGCTCCATAAGGTGGAGCACAAGCCTGGTATGTCTAAGGCCCTGCGTGGAGTCCACCGCACGGTTCTTCTAAGTTTAGCCAGTGAAGCCCTGATAACCTGAAGAGCTGCTGTATAATCAGGCCTGAGTACTGACACCTCAGTGCTACACTGCAAGGCTGAGCATTGCTGGGAGTGGGCTTTGGCACCCCCACTCCAGCACTGATGCCTGTGGCCTCTTGAAAAAAATGATCAAGTTCAAGTTCATGATCATCCTTGCAACCCACGACCAGTGTTTCCCAGCCACAGTGCTTCCCAGAGTGGGTGATAAAATTTTCCCGGAGCACTGGACAATCTAGTCTTGGGTGTCAGCTGGGACTCTTCTGTTTGTTCCCTTGAAAAAGGTAGATTTCTAGGAAGTGCTGAGTGCTTTTTTTTTTTTTTTCTGAAAAGAGAGAGTAGGCTGATGAAGCTTGGGAGTCTTTATTCTAGCATAATCCTACCAATCCACTACTCCTCACCCCCTCCTGCTCTGTTTCTGGCTGGGGATTCCAAATGCACACACAGGCCACAGTTGGGCTAGATGGGGGATTTTCCATCATTTCTTAAGGCTTTACTGATGGCAAATGACAAACTGACCAGAGGAGCAGGAGAGCCACTTTAGAAGTTAATTACATCCAAACCAAGAAATTTAGAAATCTGTGGGGATTGGGTTGAAAACGTTTTCATTTGAGAAATGTTCAGTATAGAGAGAGCTGTGTTATCTCATATCTGGTAGAGACTGTACATATGTTCAGATAGAAAACAGGCCCATCTCCAAGAACGTGGCCTGAAAAGCATGTGGAAAGGTAATTGAGTAGTGAGACTTAGTTTCTTTCTGGACCCCAGAAAATTAATCTTTGTATACCCTTCCTCCCTTCCCTTTTGTTCCCCTGGCATAGCATATTGTTGACTTCTTCACAAAGAGGAAGAGTTTCAGGGAATGTGTATCAGAAAATACGTACATTTTCTAGAAAGAAATGTATGTCTACTTTGAGAAAACCCATTTCCTATTTTAATAGAATTTTGTAACTTGGAAACTATTAAAAAGCCATTTCTTTCATAATATAAGTAAAAATATGACATTAAATGGGTTCTTATAACTGGAGGAACTCTGCCTTTAGTGAGTGTTCCAGGAGGGCACCCTCAAAATTGAAGGGCTCACAGGCTCATACCAAGATCCTATGGTGGCGGCAAGGAGGTCCTAGATTAATACTTTTGTCAAGTAAGAAATGGACTTTTTTGAAGTTCAGAATCCTTCTGAGCAAAAATAATGTCTGAGCCCTCCTGTAAAATCCTACTTCAGATGTGTTGCTGTCATGAGTCCCCCTGCTGAGATCAGAGTGGCACAACCAGAGGAAGGTGAATGTTGCTTGCCTGCGCAGATCGCCATGACATCAACAATTCATTGCCTGAGTTCACAAATGCGGTTTATGCAGGAAAGTGGAATGAGGAAGAGGATTGAAGCAGAGCTGATGAGCACAAGACTGCAGTAGCCCTCTTCAAGATGCATATGAGGCTACTTCCTAAACTCCATGGATGGTGGCCTGGATGAGGGGCAATGGGGAAAATTTCCAGTCAAGTTCAATCCTGAGGTCTCAGAAGGGAGACAGCGGTCTCTGTAGGCAAATTCATGTCATCACTTCTGCAGGACTTTCTGAACCAACCTACCAACTTACAGGTAGTTGCCTCCCTTTTTCATGAGCAGTGGCTCAGAGGAACAAAAAGTGAATTGAGTAAGAATGGTAACACTGGGGATAAGTATAGCAACATAGCAAGACAGAGCTAATAAAAATAGATTTAACAGGAAAAAACCCAAACAAACAAAAAGAAAGAGAAAAGCCAAAACATATTTTCCACTCAGGTGTATTTAGTGAGATTTTTATGCCTAGCTCAGGTTTCAGGAAGTAAGACATATCTGGAATTTCTCAGTAAACACTCCTTTCACCATACTGTAAAATAGATAATAATCTACCATGTAGATTAGCTCCCCATTCTTTAGTTTTATTTTTTTTAAACAAGAAGTTTATTTAAACAACAAGATGCTTGACTTGAAGGAAAAACTATCTAGGATTCATTTCTTTTAGAGTAATTTATCCCTACTTAAAGACAGATTGCCCTACATGTAACAGCTACGCACAAAAAAGTTCTAAAATTGTCCTTGGTTTTACAACGATAAATGAAAAACATTAAAATTCTCCAATCAAACAAGGTATGCAAGAATTTTTATGTTGTTCTTTTTTTTGTTAAACATTGAGAGTAAAATAACTTACTGGAATATAAAGATAAGAGCTGAATGAGCATGCCACTAATGGAGAAAGGGGGTATTTTCACAGAACCAATATTTTTTTCCCATCCCATCTCCATCTGATGTCAATCAAAACATAGCATTGGCCATTTAGTTAAAAAAATGCAATGCTTGTGCACATAGACCAGTTACTTTACGTACAGTAAAGGAATGGGGAAGGGGAGAATGAAAAAATAGAGAAAACTATACTGTAGTAGTCAGGATGTGGTGGAACCAAATTGCGGTCTTCGAATTGCGAATGTCTTCCTGGTCTGGAGGAGCTGAGTTCTGGAGGACAGTCGTGGGCTCTGTTAGTAGACACCTCCTGTCTGGTGCTGGAACACATCGATTGTATCTTCATCCTCCATTTCCAACTGTGCAGGTGTGTCTGTTTCATTGATTGGCTGCCCGTCAAATCGGAATCTGGTCTGCCTCATTGACAAACCCTGTCGTTCACAATAGACTTTCATTAGTTTACTAAGTGGTGTATGCGTGTTAATCTTAAACTGCACCACGGAACCAACCTGACCCGCCACCTTCAAATTAGTATGATCGTTGTTCTCGGTCTTGACGCCTTCCTTGGGTTTTTCATGGGCCATGGCAAACGCCGGAAATCTCAGCGACTGCTTCACGAAAGAGGTACCAGGTCCGCACCGAACGGGCACACAAGCAGCACCAGGAGTGGCAGAAGGAGGCAGCTGTGCTGGAGAGGCGGAGGGCGCGCACACCTAGTTTTAATTTTTGATTAATTAAGATTTTTGGCGACTCACTCAGGACTGGAGCAATAACACAGAGGGTAGGGCATTTGTCTTGCATGCTGCCCACCTGGGTTCGATACCTCCATCCCTCTCGAAGAGCCCGGCAAGTTACCGAGAATATCCCGCCCACAGGGCAGAGCCTGGCAAGCTCCTCGTGGTATATTGGATGTGCCAAAAACAGTAACAACAAGTGTCACAATGGAGATGTTACTGGTGCCCGCTTGAGCAAGTCGGTAAACAACGGGATGACAGTGCTACAGTGCACTCGGGATGGTAAATGCGTGCTGAAAGTAGACTGTAGACCAAACACGACAGCCACTTACTACCTATATTGCAAACCATAACATCCGAAAGGAGAGAGAAGAATGGGCGCTGGTGGAGGAATGGGTCCTTGATCATTGTATGATTGAAACGTAATCACAAAAGTTTGTAAGTCTGTAACTGTATCTCATGATGATTCATTAAAAAACATAACAGAAAAAAAAAGAGCAAAAAGAGATTTTTGGTGAAGACCTCCTAAGCAGTTCCTGGGAGGCCACGCAGAGATCAAATGTTGAACCTCGGAATGCAAAATGTACACTCTTTATTCCTTGAGTTATTTTTCTACTCCTTCCCAACTTCATTACATCCGGTTTTAAAAATTTAATTGCATTTATTTTATATTTCATATGAGGCATTATGATTTACAAGACTGCGAATGATAGGGTTTCATGTAAAAGTGTCCTAACACCACACCTTCCATCATTGCCTGCTTCCCTTCACCATTGCCTCAGTGTCCCCACACTTCAGCCCTCATGCCCCTATTTGGCCCCCTCCATTCCAGTGAAAAGAAAATAACTGAAAGTGAGCAGGCCTAGAGAGGGAAGAAACAAAAGCAAATCTGCATCATCTGTGTATTGGAGGAAGTTATTTCTTGTTATAAATTTCTGTAATAATTGCATTTTATAGAAAAAAATTTGTATTATACGAGTACAAAAATGATAGCATCTGTTTTAAAAGAATATGCTGCACTCCACTGTGTTCTCCATGGTGCAGCAGCCTGGAGAGGGACACGGTATTGCTTTTGTGATCAGAATTGAATTCACTTGCCTGGTTCTTGACTTTTCTTCTCTTTAGGATGTCCCTTCTGCATTCTCAGTGGTACAAGTAAAGATAATCCGGTTGTCTGCTTATTAATGTCACTTATATAGAAACTTTTCAGTAATTTTATACCCTGTAACACACTTCAATGTATAGATATGTAATAGTATGTAGAAGATTTCGAGTGAATTAAAACTCATGCTTCTGTGAATTGGAAGAAGGAACTGAAGAGAACTGTAGTTGACTTTAGGCAACCACATGTTACCATTAATGAGGTGTCTTAAAAGCCATAGAAATTTCTCCTCTCACAGTTCTGGAGGCCAGAATCTTAAAGTCAGGTGTTGGCAGAACTAGTTCCTTCTGGAAGCTCTAAGAGAGTATTTATTCCATTTTTCTCTCTTGGCTTCCCCAAGTGTCTGTTCTCATGCCACAGCCACCCCCTCCCCGCGCCCCACTTCTCTCTCCCTCTCTCCCTGTCATTGAATTTAGGCTTGCCCTAAATTCATAATGATCTTATCTTAAGGGTTTTTACTTAATTGCATATGCAAATATCTGTTTATGAAGTAAGGTCATAATTATACAAGTTAGTATTTGGACATACCTTTTGTCTTGCTTATTTTTTATTTGGGGTCATAGAGCCACACCTGGCAGTTCTTAGGGCCTACTCCTGACTTCAGGAATCACTCCTGAAAGTGCTTGGTGAACTCTATGCAGTGCCAGGGAGCGAATCAGGTAAGGTTAGTGCCTTCACCCCTGTACCATCTCTCTGAATCCATGGAAATACCTTTTTGGAGACCAGAGTTCAACACACCCTAGTATTATTTAATGTGTTCATGGAGTTGATTTAGGAAAATTTGTCTCAATATATTAAGTAGTCACTCAAATAAACAGAAACATACTATACTATCTGGAGTTGTGTTGTCTCATGGAGCCTTATGGATCTCTTCCTGTGATGCTATGACTATAGATCATATAGTTCCTCAACAATAAGCTGTGTAAGAGATGCCAAAGCTTTCACCACTGTTTTATATAGACACTAACCTTGTCTTGCGCCTTTCACTGATCTGACAGCATTAGCAGTTAAGTGTCAGGGTAGTTATCCTAACTCTTAGGTTCAGGAGACAATCCTATAGTGTCTTTCTGTAAATGGGGGGTTGTCCTTGTTAGCAGACGAGTATGGGCCTCTCTAGAAGGAAGTCTCTGCCACTTATTGTTTATTGGGCCTTGGGAAAATCCAACGCTATGATCTGGTTTCTCTCTCAGTGTAAAGAATGTGTAACAATGCTTTGCTACCTTACCAGGGTGTTGTGTGAATTTGCTGACACCCATAAAGCTCCCTGAAAATGAAGAGGCTTACATAAGTCCCTGGTATTATTCACACAGCAAACGTTTTCCCCTGAGAATAAAGTAACAAATGGTACCATTGTACAGCTAGTGGAACGTGTTCAAAAGTTTCCGTTCACAACTAGTAGATCAAGTTGTGGGTGGCTGTATGGACTTTCTGTGCTGATGCCAAGTTGCATCCAAAACAGCCAGCACAATGGGCTCTCCTGAAATGAAAAGCTGTACTGTAAGAGAAGGCCAATCATGGCATCACATCACATAGGATGGTCCTGTCTAGTCAGCGATTCATATGCACCTTTTCCTTCCAGTGTAAAGGAACAATGGCATGAACAATGACCACATGGATATCTAACATTGCAGCAACTGAGAAGCAACTATCTTCTTCCACCACATTGACAACCCTCCCAAGGATAAGGATGCTCACGAATGTAGAGGAATATAACTGTACCTCTTCTTTCTTTCCTTTCCTCTCACTCTCCACCCCCCTTCCACCCTATCCCCTCATCTCCCCAGGAAAGACTGGAGTTTGAAATCAGATGGCATGTTGAGGAAATACAATCATGTGGGTGGTGGGAGTGTGTGGGAAGAGTCTGGCCAAGTTGTTACTGGCTGACACAGGAGACTGGAGGGAACCCCCCTTCCTACTGTTCTCAGTCTGGAAATGCAGGAAAAGAGATAGGGAAAAGAACTTTGTTCTGTTGGGGACACTTAGCCTCTGGATGTCACATCTGAGAAGACAACAGGTGGTTTCACGAATTAAGAGAAAAATAAACTACCAAAAACATTTTATTATTTTTTTAAATAAAAGTGATTGTGATCACAACTGTGGAAATAGCTCAAGTGGAAATGCACATAGACAGAGACAAATCAATGACCACTGCCCTCAAAGGGTCCTTCCCTGGTGAAGAACAAGGTGACCAGGACAAGGTAGAATCAAGGTGAGAGCTGGAATCACTGAAGGGAATCACGATCACAATCATCCTGTTGTTCGTCGATTGCCTCGAGCAGGCACCAGTAATGTCTCCTTCTTCCTAGCCCTGAGATTTTAAAAGAGCCATATTCAATGCTCTTTCAGGGTTAGGAGAATGAGACCCATCATTGTTACTGGTATTTGGCATATTGAGTACAACACCGGAAGTTTGCCAGCCTCTGCCGTGCGGGCAGGATACTTTCGGTAGCCTGCTGGGTTTTCCAAAGGAAAAATGAGATAAAATAAGATGTCGCACGGCCACAAATGCGCCCCGGTGCGCTTCCGAGAGATGGGTTTTAGTCTCTTTGTCTTGACCGTTGATGGAATCAACCTGGCGCTGGCAGCAGCTGGTGGGTGTGACGCCTACCTACTGGAAGATGGGGGATCTGGCTGGAGAAGGGCTAGCCCCAATCCAAGGAGGCCTGGAGATCTCAGCCCCGGGCCCCGCATGCCTGGGTTCCGCTGCCAGTTCCTTCATGCATGAGGCTTGTCAGGACATGTGGAGAGTGGTCTGAGCATGGTTGTGGCTGGTCCTGGAGGTCTTCAGCTTCCGGGGCTCTGCTTGGGGGTATGGGGAGGAAAACTCAACCCGCCTCCCTCCATGGGGCCCCAGTGAGGACAGCCAGGTGCAGGGGCAGGAGACTCTGAATGGAATATCATAATGATATCCTGTGCATGGCTCTGCCACCACAGTCTCAGCTGCCTTTTGCTTCACAGGTCCCGAGAACTGTAGCCTGAGACAGTGTCACATAGCTCCCTCTGAGTTCAGACGCACTTTAGGACTCCCTGGAAGAAGTAGAGCAACATATGTCTCAGGGCAGAGGGGGGTCCTGGCTTCACACTCGGGTTTCTGAGGGACACTCCATTGAATGTTTCTGTGTGACTGTCCCTAAGCACAGGAACTTTAACAGTTTTCAAAGTTTCCTCCTCTGTGTGTGTTCTTGGGACCCGTAGGCTGGGCATGTCAAGCACGGAAGGAGCCATTTGCCTCCACAAGGCCAAGCTTGTCGGTGAGCCTCAGAACACGGTTCTGTACCAGCCTCCCAATGAGGTTCCGGAAAGTCAGCTCAGTCTCTGATGTTTCCTGAGCATCAGAGCCCAGGCTCTCTGCATCTTTCATGTTACTCCAGGGCTGGGGCATGTGGGAAAAGAAGAGATGAGAGGCAGAGATCTGATCCATAGATAGGGCGGTACATTCCCCACTCGCCTCCCAAGGTCTAATTTCTGACTTCAGCAGTTTCCCAGCAGAGCCCATGAGTTTGCTGCTTCGCAGTCCTGTGCTCAGTTTTCTGGCTTGCTTTTCTAACTTCTCTCACTGCTAAAGAAGCTCATAAACTGAGCCAGTAAGATGTAAGCTAAAGTCAGTGTGGGACTTTTGGGAAAATCCATGAGTTGTCACCACCCTTCTTGTCACCTCTTCCATTATTATTATTATTATTATTATTATTTGCTTTTGGTGTTTTGGAACCACACCCTGGAAAGCTTGGAGGCTACTCCAGGCTCAGTGCTCAGGGACCCATGTGGTATTAGGAATTCA